GGGAAAGAGATGTTTAACCCTTTCCGCTCTGCTGCTGTCTGTATAGGGCAAGTGGAGGCCACGGCCACACCAAAAAAAAAAACTGAAAAAAACAACGAGTGGTCCAGTAGCACCATATTTTTTGTTAGAAACGAACACAACTATATATAGTATCATGAGCTCATGATACTATAATATATCAGGGGTCTGCAACCTATGGCTCTAGAACAAATTTGGAACCAAAGATGGCCCTTTTGTCAATCCCAAAATACACACTTTTTAAGTTAAAATGAAACATTTAAAATTTTAAAAACGTGTAATTACTCATGTCAAGATGATTTGTTTTGTCTATTTCACCTTTAAGTGTTCACTTTAACCACACTCTGCACCCTCCCTTGCTCTTGCTTCCTTCCCCCCGGCCAGACACCCTACACCCAGCCTGCTTCTGCACACTACCTCCCACCCAGACCTTGCACCTTCACCCCCTCCTGTTCCCCAGATCCTGCACCCCCATCCCTATCTCACTCACTAGCAGCCCATCCAGCACACTGAAACTCTCATTTTTCTCCCCACCCCCAGAGTCCTGAGGTATCTCAGGTGGGAGCCACATCACTGACGGTTGGCGTAGTTCTTCTGTTTCTCACTTGTGTGTTCCCCAGCTGATTTTTCTATTGGTCAGTGGCCCCCCAACCCAAAAAAGGTTCCCTGCCCATTCCATTGTGGAAGAAAACATTGTCCTCGCTCTGAGTTTGTAAGCAACAAGTAGCCAGAGGCAGTTTTATTACAAGCTGCAGCAAGGGAAAAACTGGTTCGGACGGGGGGGGGGAAGCCCCCCCAAGGCAGATCTTCAGATACAAGCAATTATGAAGAGTTTATATACTGTCCATTAGATATAATAACAACAACAATTAGTCTCCTTCCTATTACAGACACCAATGGCTAACAGTTATTTAGTTCCACCCAGATGCGCCTTATCTCAAGGTCCCTGCTAGAGTCAGCATTCTATCCTTATCTCCGTATGGAGGCGAGAGGCGAAGGCAGTGTCTAAGTACAGATCTCGCGTTGTCAGGCCACAGACTTAGCCTGACTCTTGCTCTTTTGTTAACAAGACCAAGATGGCTGCACACAAATTCCCGTATTCCCTTTTCCTGCCTCCACACCATAAATAAAGAAAACACTGAAACCTTTTGTTTGCGACATAAATTAATACTTTATTTAAAATGAAGTTTGATAAACTAACAGGAGAAAGTTAAAACGCTTAATTTGTTTAATAATTTAAATTAAACCATTCTCGTTAGCTGCAGGACTTGCAAAATGGCTCAGGCATAATTATGTCATTAACTCTGAATTTCCATTGCAGCTGGTGGTCTACAGAAAGGTCTTCATTGAGGCAGATGGTCCATAGACCAAAAAGTTTGAGAACCACTGTATTACAGGATCAGCACCCTAGAATGCACAATCATCGAGACAAATAGTGTTAATTTAGGAGAAACACAAAGAAAATAATAAACTACATAGTATTTTTTTTAATGTGTGTATAGTATTTTTTGTAATGTAGACTTCTTACAACAAAAAGAAGATCACACTTTACTGCTAACCTTTTCTATTTTTAGTATTTTAATAATCTCTTTTTAAATTTGCAGTCAGCTATGTGGTCTAGTTTTAGATACTGACAAAAGTGTGGAATTACAAGGCCTAGCACTCTATGCCATAGACAGTTTAAATTAAACATTACAGAAATAGTGCCATTTGAGAAGAAATTTCTACTGAGTTCTGATTGTTTCTTTAGATTAATATTTTTAATTTATTTATGTTTTTCAAGGTAAAAGGGTAACAACAGCAGTGCATCTGTCCAATGTTCACAATTTATAAGAACAATATGAGGTTCACAGTACATTTTTCCTTTAGCGTTACAGATCTGGCAACAAGTGCTTCAACAGCTTCACATGGGCACCTCAACTTTTTTTAAAATAATTGCATTAGTATAATATTTTATGACTCCATTGAAATGTAAAACATGAAGATGATGGATTAGATAGAAATGAGTTAAGGACTGTAAAGTACAAAGAGGAGCCAGAAAATAAACATCATTTAAACAAACTATATTAAAATTGATCTCATCTGAATATAATGCAAAGGTGTATAGCAGAGATGAAACTGATACCCACTAAAATATGGCCTTTGGTCTTTGGTTACTAATGAAAGACAGCTAACAAAAAGGATCCAAAACACCACTGGTGACAAACGAAATCTGGTATTAAAGTACTAGAATATTTATTGCAATATTCCTAATACTTACCTTCTCATATACACCAGAATAAGTCAGTAACAATGAATATGCTCTAAATGGTAACACACTTGGACAGAAGGTGCTGAACTCAATTCTCATGACAGGAATTAGTTTAGCCATTATTCATGCCACTGTGCAATAGTACATATTGCATTGTTATAGAAGCTGTCCTTTGGATGAAATCTACACCAAGGTGCTTTCTTCTTCTCTCTGGGGAAGTCTCAATGGAATTTTAAAAGTTCTGTGTATCATTTTGACAACAGGAAGGAATCACCATGATGCTCTACTCTCATGCTTTCTCTTTGATAAACTAGTTTATAATTGGCCAAATTCACAAATAATGTGAAATGGTGAAGTTACACTTGTTTAGTTCCCAGTTTGAGGTTAATCCTATATTTACAGTTCCAGATCCAGAGGTTTTCACTCAATAGAGGTTCTTGTCAATAGGAGTTTGTTTCAACAGAAACAGAGCAGAAACTGAGCAGTAAAAGTTGAGTAAGGACTTCAGGAATAGATTATTAAAAATAAGTTAGAACTGATTATTATTCCGTATGTGTAAGTAAAGATACTTTCAAACAAACATACTCTTCTAGAAGATTAAATAACTATGAAACCAGGCTATACCAATCTACTTGTTTAGAGGTGACAACAACTGTATAATTTAAAGATAAAATATTCAAAGTAAACAGATAGTTTGGGCTTAGGTTCAAGTCAAGAGTTCAGTTTCAGCTTTGGATTAAATGAGCAGTGTTACTAATTCTCTAAGGGTGTGTCTAGACAACAGCGCTATTTCAAGACATCCGTGTAAACCTAATTCCACGACAATTTTGTAATAGCACTCTATTTCAAAATTAACTCAAAATAAGCTATGGAATTTACATAGCTCAAATTGAGTAGCTTATTTTGAGCTAAGGGTGCAGTATACATGCACCCTAAATTGTACTGTAATTCTCATTCTATTTGGTATTTGGTATTTTTGTTAAAGTTGCAGCAAGATCCTGGCTCTGTCCAAGAGAGTTGATGACTTGGAAGTCTAGAGTGAGTAGCCTTCTTGGAGCAGAGAGTGCAGTCCCTTGAACCTGTGACAAAAATAACCCAAAAGCAGCGAAAAGTCCTGTAGCACCTTATAGACTAATACAAATGTTGGAGCATAAGCTTTCGTGGGCGAAGACCCATTTTGTCAGATGCTTTAGCCCACGAAAGCTTATGCTCCAATACTTCTGTTAGTCTATAAGGTGCCACAGGACTCCTCACCACTTTTGCAGATTCAGACTAACGCGGCTACCCCTCTGATACAAAAAAACCCCAGATTTTCAAGTGAATATTTTCAGATTTGGAAGCCTGACTCTTCAGTCTTGAGAAAACAACAAATAGTCCTTGAACACTTGGTGCGGACAACACTGAGTCTGAATGAGGATTCAGAACTTGGGTTCAGTTTGGCTCATGGTCTCAGGTTTACTAGCTGGGTTACAATTCACATCATGATCTTGATCTGGTCAGTCTCTGTGTGGTTTCAAATTAGGTACACTGAATGGGTTAGGGATGTTAAGGACTAGCAAATGCGTATCGGATAGTCTCTCGACTAGTCAACTAGTCGATTCCCTACCACCACTACCCTGCTACCTCTCGGGATGTTAAGGACTAGCAAATGCGTATCGGATAGTCTCTCGACTAGTCAACTAGTCGATTCCCCACCACCACCACCACCTCCCTGCTACCTCTATGAGATAGAGGCAGAAAAGAGGGGGAGTACTTCAAAGCAGCAGTGCCACACAACTGAGCCGGGAATCAGCTATGCGGCACTGCCGCTTTGAAACCCCAATGCGGTGTTTCAAAGGGGAAGCCGCTGCACAGCTGATCTGCAGCTCAGTTGTGCAGCACTGCCCCTTTAAAACACCACTTCCATGGAGCCCGGAGTCAGCTAACACCAGGTTCTGAGCGGCATTTCCCCAGAAGCCAGGGTCTGGGGAAATGCCGTTCGGAACTCGGGATCAGCTGGGGAGCTGGCCTCGGATTCCAGGGAAATGCTGCATCGAACCTGGAGTCAGCTGGGGAGTTCCCAGCTGACCCTAGGCTCCCACTAGGGGGGACTCTTGTGCATTTCAAAGCAAGCCACCCGCACGCAGTCTTGAGTCAGTAGCTGTATGCACTGGCCTCAGGCTGTATGGGGAGTTCCGCATTCCTCCTTTGAAATATACAAGAGCCCCAGTGGACATTTAAAAGGAGAAATGCGGAAGTGCCTATCGACTAGTTGAGTAGTCGATGGAAATACCATCGACTATTCAACTAGTCAATTAACCACATTTTAACATCCCTAGTATGGGTCAGTCTGGGATAATCAGAGTTAGTTCTGGGCTAGTCAGGCTAAGCGTTCATAGTTAGTTTGGGCTGGTCGGGGGTATCAACTAGTCGATAGGCACTTCCGCATTCCGCCTTTGAAACGTCCGCTGGGGCTCTTGTACATTTCAAAGGAGGAATGCAGAACTCCGTATACAGCCCAGGGCCAGCAGGGAGTCCTGATGATTCTGGGCTGCAAGTGTCGTGCTTGCTTTGAGATGTACAAGAGTCCCTAGCATGGGCTCTTGTGCATTTCAAAGCCATGCATGCCATGAAGAGCCTGGGGTCAGCTGGGGACTCCTCCGATGATCCCAGGTTCCACTGAAATACTGTGTGGAGCCTACATTTCAAAGGAGGAATGCAGAACTCCGTATACAGCCCAGGGCCAGCAGGGAGTCCTGATGATTCTGGGCTGCAAGTGTCGTGCTTGCTTTGAGATGTACAAGAGTCCCTAGCATGGGCTCTTGTGCATTTCAAAGCCATGCATGCCATGAAGAGCCTGGGGTCAGCTGGGGACTCCTCCGATGATCCCAGGTTCCACTGAAATACTGTGTGGAGCCTACGATCAGCTGGGGAGTTCCCAGCTGACCCCAGGCTCCAGGGCACTACTCCTTCAAAATGCCAAGGCAGCATTTTAAAGGGGCAGCGCCTTGGCATTTTGTGGATCCTGGGGTCATTTGGGGACTCCTCAGATGATCCTGGGTTCCACTGAAATGCTGTGTGGAGCCCAGAATCAGCTGAGGAGTCTGCAGCTGACTCTGGGCTCCACTGTGCACCACTGCTCCTTTGAATCACCAAGGTGGCATTTCAAAGGAGTAGCTGCCATGCAGCTGAGCCGTGAATAGCTATGCAGCACTGCCCCTTTGAACACCACTTTGGTGTTTCAAAGGGGCAGTGGTCGCACAGCTGAGCTGGGGATCACCTGTGTGGCAGCTGCTCCTTTGAAACATCTCCTCAGCATTTCGAAGGGGCAGAACCATGGAGCCCGGGGTCAGCTGAGTGGTGTTTAAAACACTGAGGTGGCGTTTTAAAAGGGAAGTGCCTCGGCATTTTGTGGATCCTGGGGTCAGCTGAGCTCCACAGCATTGCTCCTTTGAACACCACTTCAGGTTTCAAAGCAGCAGCACAACATAGCTGATCCCCATCTCAGCTGTGCAGTGCTGAGGCTTTGAAGTACTCCTTCTCCCCTCCCTCCCCTTTTGCTGCCTCTATGGGATAGAAGCAGCAATGGGAGGGGGAGCGACTAGTCGATTGACTATGGGATAAGCATTTCTTATGGGATAGTCAGGGGTAGCCTGGGCTGTTGAGGTGGTGGTTGGGGGTGAGTCTGGGCTAGTCAGGGTGGGTTTCAGGGTCAGCTGGAGAAGGTCTGGGTGCGGGATCAGGGTGAGTGTGGGATGCTCAGGGTGGGTCTGGGAGGCAGTCAGTCTGGGAGAGGGAGGGAGGGAGTCAGGCAGGGCAGGGTTGCTGCACCAGCTCTCGGGGTTAGACTGTGGAGGGCGGTGTGAGGAGCCGGGCTTGGGATTGGTCCGTGACCAGCGATCCGCGTCGCAGCTCAAGTCACTGCCTCGCTCAGGGATCAAGGCTCAGGACAGAGACTTTGGGGGGCTCAGGCCGGACACCCTCGGCGCGGGCGATTTTCGCAGCCGGAACCAGGGCGGTCGGGCCGCGGAGCAGCCCGGAGGGATAAAGCGGTGGGACCGGCCGTGCGTTCTTTGGGCAGCGGGCTGCTAACGCTGCTGTCTGCGTGGCGCCGAGATGGCGGCTTTCTCCGGTATGTGGCCCTTGTGGGGAAGGGCGAGGTGGCGCTAAGGGCCCGGGTGGGGGTGGAGACGAGGAGCCGTAATCTCCCTCGTTACACGGGCCCAAAGCGAGCCAGGTGTCGCTGTTCCCCGGGCAGGCAGGATCCGCTCATGTCCGGTTGCTCTGGGGCCTACGGCCGCCCGCTTTCTTCGCGCGCTTAGCCCCAGGGCAGGTGAGGGTCCCAGGCTGCTGCCCTGGCGGAGGGGCTGGGATGGGGCCTTGCTGGGTGTCTCACAAGAGTGTGATGCTACAAGAAAATAGTAGCAGCTGGTGTTAGTAACAGCTCCCTGGAGGACATTCCTCCCTCCCGCGCGCACACTGGGTTGCTTATGAGGAGCTTTTCTCAGGTCGTAACGGCCTAGGCCAGGCTGGCAGGGGATGGGTGTGAACAGTAAACTTCGTTATATCATTTGATTTGGTACAAATTAGTGTTCATTTAAGGGGGCAGCTTTTCATATGCCCCTTGAAGGCCTAGGTTGGGGTTTTGATTTTTTTTTTATGTTTGTCAAGTCCGCCCCACCCTGTGACTTTACTGTTCTGTAAATGATGTTTTGTAAATAAATTGCACACTACAGTGGACTGCAATTCAAAAAAAAAAATACTAATGTGTGTCAACTCCTGGTCTAATCACTCTTTCAATACATGATTGTATGCAACGTTAATAATTGTTTATCCTGACAGATGAAAATTATCAAAAACAAAATTTTATGCAGAAGAAGGCTTGATATTGGGCACTTTAGTTATATCCTGATCCCACACCCAGACCTTCTCCAATTGACCCTGAAACATACCCTGACTGCGGAGATTTGCTATAGACCCCTTCGGTGAAAGTGTTCACAGTTCCTTATAATGCTATATGGATTTTTGACACCAAAGTATAGATGAGAAATTCTTCTCCATATCATGAAGTTTTCATAGTATTAATTTAGGAATTAGACTTCATGATACAAAGATTATGCCATAATGTCATGACTTTATAA